GAAAGAAAGAAAGAAAGAAAGAAAGAAAGAAAGAAAGAAGAAAAGACATCCCTTTCTCTTCGCACTCTTTCTTTGTACACGCATACTTTTTCATTCTCTCTCTTACTCTCTCTTTCTCTCTCTATTTCTCTCTCTCTGTCTCTCTCTCTCTCTCTCTCTCACTCGCTATTTTCGATCAGTATATAGAAAATCGTCTTAACGCTTATCGAACAGAAATTTTTATTGTTCCCGAGAATATCGAAGGAACAACCGTTGCTTCGACGATTCGACTACTCGACTAATCGTCTACGTTATCTAAATGCCGGTAAAAATTGTGCGTCGTTAATCGTGCCATCTTCCTCTCCCCTACTCTAATCTCTTATTCGTTCCTCTTAAAAGATCTCGAAGAGTTTCCACCTCGTTGCGGTGAAAAAACGGTGTGTGGTGTATGTGTGTGTATATACATCGCGTATTTGGGATCTTTTCTTCTCTTCATAGACGCGAGGACGATATAAAACCTTATACAATTATTATCTAAACGATAATATAAATAAACGCGACTTCTCGACGATCGAAAAAAAAGTAATAATAATAAACAAACCGCAACCGCCATTTCTTCTCAAACTCGAGGCTCGTCATCGTGCATCGCTCATCGCACAAATACCTATAGAACAACGCCTGGTGAACGATATATACTATATATATATATATTCGCAGTTTGAGGAGCTTGGCGAGAACCTCGAGAACGAAGAAGAGAGGCGAAAGAAGAGAATCTTTCTCTCTCTCTCTCTTTCTCTCTCTGTTACATAAAGTAAATCGGATCGTTTTCCGCGATGGCGTCCAGCCTGGCCGGCAGGGTTTTCGGTCGTTGAGGAGCCGCCGTCTTGCACACGACCTCACGGGACCCCTTACGTCACATGTAGGTAGGCTTCACCTTGTACGCTCTTTTCCAGACCTCGCACAGGCAAACGGTGCTGTGGAACCTGTAGAATATCGCCAACGGCATCGAGACGTGGGTGATGATCGTCCACGCCCAAAGCCCGTAGAAGTGCAGCTGGACCGGATGCGACTCCGCCCTCGACTTCTCCAGCGTGTTGATCGCCCACATGGCCAGATTCGTGACAAGGAGGAACGTGACGATCTCCCTTCCGGGCTTCCTTCTGATCTGCTTCGCGGTCGCCACGGATCGCCTCGACGCGTCCAGAATGAAGATGGTCTGGAAGGTGGTCTGCACCACGCTCGCGAGCGCCGTCACCAAAACCAGGACCGTGTGCTTGGCGAGGGTGAATTGGGCGCCGATTATCGTGAACGTCGAGTAGATGAACATCCCCGTCTGGGCAGCGACCAACAGGATATTGTCCAACTCCAAGTTCCTGTTCCCGTCGTAGCGGAGCTTCCTCATCTGGAACATTCCTATCAGCGTCGCCATCGTCGACATCCCGTACAGGGTCAATTCGCACACGTTCACCTCGGTCACGGCGAAGCTGACCAATTCTGGACGCGATATCAGCACGAAGAACAGGATCAGGGAGATGATCGTCAGCACCAGGATCAAGATGCCGACGAACAGGCCCTTGTGGGCGCGGGCGCAGTCCACGCTGTAATGGTGGGGCGATTTCCTGAAAAGGGGAGGAAGTTAAGAT